ATTATTATTATTATTATTATTATTTATGTTTAGAAGCAAGTCCGCTATTACATCTTCCTTGATAGTCAAATCTGGTGACGGTGAACTCATCAAAAAAGAGCAAGTCGAGACAGGACAGGTAGTTCTGAGAAGAATTCATACCAAGAGGATGCTAATACAGTCTGTTCCCTGCGAATGAAGGGGCGTGTGAGGCGAGACGGACTTGGCGCGGTGCCAAACCACTTTTCTACCAGTTGTTAAAGCGAGCAAGCGACCATCATGTCATTCGTATCAGTCATTTTCCACCAGTTGTTGTCACTCCAACAACTGGCGGAAAACAGGTTTTTCGCCGCGCCAGTTCAATGCCTCCTGACGCGCCTCATGACCCGCAGCGAACAAGACTATATGTGTAACATTACAGATGCTCCACTAATTAAGCATATCTGATGCCTAGCATACTGATTGTATTATACTGCACGAAATGTGTTTCAGGTCAAACTTTCTGTGTATCGACTGTACATGAAAGCGGGCACTTACTGGAAATGCTTTCTGTTCTTCTTCCTTCTAACTGCCTTCCAGGTGTTTCAGACATTGCGCAGCTTCTGGCTGTCAGCCTGGTAATTCGTTCAACCTCTTTCCTTCTGTTTAGAAAAAATGTGAAAAATGCTTCTCTAGGTCTGATGAAAATGATGGTCAACATGCTGAAAAAATGGCGACGGGTTTGCGTTTAGGCGTCTATGGAGCGTTAGGAACAGTAGAATGTAGGTTTCTTACGCTAACTAAAGCTATCTCATCTGAAGCCCTACAGTCTCCAGCAGTCCTCACTAAACACGACAGTCTGGGATTCAAGTTTTTTTCTGTTTCTTAGGAGTGGTAGGAAGGTGTGCCATAAATGAGACCCATTTAGATGGTTGCTTTTCAGCGTTGAGTTTCTTGTTATCGTTAGTAAGTCTTGCATTTGCTGGACTTTCTGCTTCCTACAATCTTCACGCTCCGTTGCTCCACAATTTGATGCGATCACCTATGTCGTTTTACGACACAACACCTCTAGGAAGAATTCT